ACAGTTCCTCATGTTGTGGTGACCCCCAATTTCATTGTTACAAATTGAACATAATTAAAGCATAGTGATTAATCACAAAAACAATATGTAATTATATATGTGTTTTCCGATGGTCTTAGGCGACCCCTGTGAAAGGGTCGTTTAACCCCCAAAGGGGTCGCGACCCACAGGTTGAGAACCACTGGTCTAGGAGATTCGTCTGCCACCAGAAGTACGATACCCAGCATTACTGGTGCTCCCCACATTCTGGGCTTCCACTCCTGGTCCTGGGGCTGCCACCAGAATGACTATTCCCAGAATTCCTGGTGCTCCCTGCGCTGGTGGTTTTCCCTTCCTGCTCTGTCTCCGTCCCATGGCCTCCCACTCTGCCAAGTCCTCCAAGCCACCAGCTCTTCCTCTCTCTCCGTCTGGTGGTGGCTGGGGAGCCAATTTCCCCAAGCCGCTCCACTCTCTGCTGGCTCTCCCGCTCTGCTCCCCGCCCCGCCCCCCGTGCCTGTGTATGCAAATTACCCTGCCATATTTGTTGGGTTAATCTGCATACTCACTCCTGATTGGCTGGTGAGTGTAGCAAAGGGACAGTCAATTTTCATGTTTCCCTTTTATTATATATACACTGAGTGGCCAGATTATTATGACCACCATTTACATGTTTCTCTTTTATTATATAGGATTTTATAAAAATAATTCAAAGCTATATTTATTTCTGCTGGTAGATAAAAGTACCTTTTCTTTTTAATGAACCAGGGATATTTGGTCTAATAGTGTTGGTGGAATTTTGACTTCTTCTAAAATAAAATTATCACAATCATTGCAAGACTAATCATCCGAGAGAAGCAAATCAAAACAACAATACGGTACCATCTCACACCTGTCAGAATGGCTATCATCAACAAATCAACAAATGACAGGTGCTGGTGAGGATGTGGAGAAAAAGGAACCTTCTTTTTACAGTTCAAGTTAACTCCCAAGAAAATCATTGTAGTGTCAGAGTTCTTGGTATGAAATAAAGTTCTGGAACATTTTTGCGTCTCTCCCTCATGACCTGAGTGTGCAGGGCTTTCCTCCTTCCCCACACTGTGATTAAAACTCCCAACACTGAATTGCTGTAAACCCACAGCTACTGTTCTCTCCCCGAGAAATAGGCCAAGTGCTGTTAGAAGTAAAGTGCCTGAAGCTGTAATTATAAGACTGGGTACTCACATAGGCTAAGTAAGCAAGGAGAGAGAAATCTCAGGAAACCTGAAAGCGGGGTCCCCCGCCCCAGTGGAATAAAGTGGGGAGAGGTGCGCACAGCTGTGCAGAAGGGTCTTGTTTGGGTGGCTTGGTTGTCAGATTGTGTTTAATAAACCAAGCACCTTCCACCCACTGCTCTCTCTCCCAACAGCAAATGCAGCCACAAAAGGGTAGGCAGATCTCTCCCCCTTACCCCCACCCTCCCCTACCTTCCCTCTGTGGTTTGACAATCTGATCGATGCTTCTCTGTCTCTGGATCTGTTTAAAGGACTTATATGCAAGCATATAGGCCTAACCAAAGGACACAGACAACAGGGGGGTGAGGGCATGAGTGGGGGGGAATAAGGGGGTAATGTGGGGATAAGGACACATATGTAATAACGTAATCAATAAAAAATATATATAAAATGTATAAAAGTACCTTTTCTTTTTAATGATCCAGGGATATTTGGTCTAATAGTGTTGGTGGAATTTTGACTTCTTCCAAAATAAAATGATCACAATCATTACAAGAAAATTTTTGAACAAAATCAGCTATCTATGACTATTTCATTGTAACAGATCTCAGAACATAGACTTTAAAAGGAGACTGTGTAGTACCTTACATCACATCATTTTTTAAAAAATATATTTTATTGATTTTTTTACAGAGAGGAAGGGAGAAGGATAGAGAGTTAGAAACATCAATCAGCTGCCTCCTGCACACTCCCTACTGGGGATGTGTCCACAACCAAGGTACATGCCCTTGACCGGAATCGAACCTGGGACCCTTGAGTCTGCATGCTGACACTCTATCCACTGAGCCAAACTGGTTAGGGCTATATCACATCATTTTACTGCTTTCTCTAAATCTGGATTAAAAATAGAAATGCCACAGGACAGAAAATTCTCTTGTAATTTATAGGGATTCAGGATTTTCCTGAGTTGTGGGGGAAAGAACTGGAATGATCTGCAATCCTGGCCTTGATTTGCCTTGAATCAAGAGAGAATCATGGGTGAATTAGCAGATATAGTTGTTTAAAGTTCGAGATTAGCTCTGATTCTTATCAACAAGCTTCATAGGAAGACTATTTTCAAACAGGATTAATGAGTTACTGATTCTTCATATGTTAACATATTCTCACATGTTCTCAGTTACTTGATTCTTTTCAATATACAAAATTATAAATCCCAATTACATTTTAATGTAGCTAAAAATAAATTTCTTTGTCATATAACCTGGAGCTATAATTTCTTTTACATTTCTAAAATTCTTATTTTATAAGCAATTTGGTATTTTCATATAAACTTACATTGTAAATTGTTGCATAGGACTGGGAATAGGAATTGCAAGCAAACTGGTGCAATTCCCACAAGTTAGTAATATGTAGAAAAGTACTGCTGAAACCAAATTGGAAAGAGGTTTTAAAGATGCCACTTTTCTTTCTCTGACTGGCTTATTTCAATGATTTCACTTATATGTGGAATCTAATGAACAAAATAAACTAACAAACAAAACAGACTCATATAAAATTATAAAACTGCCAAAAATAAAAGAGAATATAAAAAAACACGCAAAAACAAAAATAGACTCATAGATACAAAGAACAGACTGACAGCTGTCAGACGGGATGGGGGTTGGGGGGCTGGGTAAAAAGGTGAAGGAATTAATAATAAAAAAAAAAACCACACCCAAAACACAAAAAAACTCCCAAACTCACAAAGTAAGGTGATTACCAGAGAGAAAGGGGGTGGGGGTGGGGGGAGATTAAAGAAGGTAAAGGGGGGATAAATGGTGATGAAAGGAGACTTGACTTGGAGTAGTGAACACACAATACAATATATAAATGATATATTGTAGAGTTGTACATCGAATCGTATATAATTTTATTAACCGATGTCACCCCAATAAATTCAATAAAATTAAAAGACAAGAAAAGCCCTGTCACTTTTCTCAGAAACAAGTCAGTGGTAACTAAATTCCAAATACATTTAAGGTAAAGTTGAATGTTAAAATATTAGTGGGAATACTAGTATATATGTTATAGGCATAAAAATGTAGCTATTTGCCCAGTAAATCCAAGGTCTATGGATTAAAACTCTAATATATAGTTAATAACTTATATAAAAGGGAGTAAAATAATTTATTGTTTTGTCATTTGAGCAATTTAATTAGCACAACTGAACTTTTTTTAGACCCACTAGGATTGAGAAGAAGCTGGTCTATGAAAATTACGGTTTTGTATCAGACAACTATTTACTTTGAACCCCACTTTCAAACAATGTTAGTTATTTTTATGGGTAAATCATAAACTGTTTCTTAAAAGCAATAAAAATTATTTATACAGCCCTGGCTGGTGTGCTTAGTGGTTAGAGCATAAGCCTGCCAATGGAAGGTCGTGGGTTTGATTCCCCTTCAAGGGCATGTACCTGGGCTGCAGATTTGATTCTGCCCCAGGTCTGGGTGCATGCGGGAGGCAACCAATCGATGTGTCTCTTTCATGTAAATGTTTCTCTCTCTCTCTCTCTCCACTCTCTCTAAAAATCAATGGAAAAATATCCTAACTTCCTCATGTGAGGATTAACAACAACAAAAATTTATACAGCATATATAATTTTAGTTTTCAATGAGAGCTTCAATTTCTAGAAATTACAGCAAAACTAGGCAGCACCAACATTGAAATAAGTAAACATTTTCTACGAAATTGAAGTATTACTACCATACCAAGTTCACATTTTCTTCCCAAGACTGATGTATCTGTATTATAGTTTGTATCTCCCTACAAAAGAAAAAAACACACAACACAAACAAAACATGAGTACTGCAGTTTGCCTATCTAAAAGAAAAGATGTAACTGAATATACAAATGATCAGAATAGTAACTCAAAGTACAGTACTCACCATTCATTTATTGCTTCTTTAGTTATTAAATCCATGCCTTTTCCTGAAAGACAGGAACATGAGAATAAAACTGAATATAGTTCCTGTGGTTTCACAAAGTGATTTCATTCACTGTGCTATTGAATGGTCAAATGAACCTCTAAACCAGTGGTTCTCAACCTTGGCTGCACATTAGAATCACCTGGGAATCTTTTTTT